AATATCTACTAGAGCACACCAGCGCATACAATCCCTACACTAATCTGTCCCTTTGTACTTACCAGCAGCATTCCCTTGGTTTCTGCTCACAGCTAACCACATTGTAAATATGGCTGATTGCAACCATGCCTTTTTATAGGACACAAAACAATGCCCCTATTATAGGCCATTCTAAGCCATCTGACCTAAGTGCAAAGGCTGTGAAGTCCATTATTGGTAACTGATTGCTATGGCTATTGCTTCAGACCCAAGCTCAACCCAAACTTGAACCTCATCTCTACCCGTGGCTTTAAATAGACCCTGTTTTCAGAGCATCAATATCAACAAAAAGCTTCCCATACGATCATTTGTGCATTCAACATACTGTATGCAGGTTATTTACCTGTAAATACCTCCCTTGTGGAGACATTCAGATCTGACACTGTTGCTGGGCACCACTATCTTGAATGTTATGTCACTAGCCCCAGCAGGCTTTAAAGTGACACTCTATAGTAGTCCACATTGCTTTTCCCCAGCAGCTATATAAAAGGTTATATAACACAGAGATGAATTAGATACTCCTAGAAGAGGAGAGGGCCATGACAAGCACAGAGAGAGGGGTCTGTACTAAGGAATTGACTGTTCAAATTTTCTAGCAAGTTCAAAAGCACACTGCATTTGAATAAAAAATAATTTATGTAAAGGAAAAAGACTGCAAGTAAGCATCTAAAATATATGATATTTATTTGCTTTTGCCTGCAATTAGTGGCGATCAGGAAACTGCATTTTATTTTTAATTGCTAGCTAATAGGGCAGTCAACCATTTTGCTGCCTTTTACATTTTTGTTATTATTGGGGGCTTTTTTTTGTCTCTCATATGTGGTTGATTTGAGGTTTGCAGTTGTTTTTAGCTGCTATCCCGTTCATAGCAAACTACCTTCGCATTTAAGACACACTGGGCCCAAATGATAAAATCACAGTGGCCCAGTCGGATATAGCCTTCACTATGATAACCTAAATAGAACATAGCAACCACTGGCAAGGACTTTGCAGCTCAGGGTCACCGATTCATAGTGAAAGCAGATGCCATGGAGTATGAGGCTGAACTGTGCAGCCTGCAACTTCAAGTTGGTGCAGATCTTCACCAAACCCAAGGGTGAGGAATTGAGACTGGGACAAAAGAGTGCACAATATTGTGCATTAAAAGTTTTCACTTTAATAATAAAAGAGGTTAAAACACTCACAGACACCATTAAGAGCATGAAGTGCAATAATCATTCAAGAAGATATAAAAACCTCCCTTTCCATGGCTAGCATTCAGGAACAGTCTCTGGATGTGAGTCAGCACAAGCACCCAGTTGGTAGAAGACAGCATCCTCATTGCTCAGTAGTGACCTCTTGAGCATTATCAGGCTTATCAGAGGATATATCTGACTGGGCCATTGTGAGTGCATATCCTAATATTTGAGCAGTGTGTCATTAACGCACAAGATCCTTTACGCCCTTTTATATTTTTAGGTTAAACCGCTTTTATTTTGCTGTAAACCTTTCCTTTTAAAAAAAAGTGTGTTTTTGTTTCAGGGTGATATTCAGGGATTTCATTTCTTTTTTTATAGGGAGCCTTCACTTGTTATGGTCTATGTTGTTTGCAGCACACCACTGCATTGTTTGAAAGGAGAAACATTAAGTGCAAGCACAAAGTGCACCTAAACCGTTCATTCAACCTCCATATTAACAGAGCTTTTAAAAAATACATCTGTTCTGTTGCTATCATTTTAGTTTTTTCATTATAATTTGCTACATATATTTATCACAGATCTCAACAATTCCTGTGTTGTAGTGTTAATAGCATACTTGAAACTAGCCAACAGCATACCGTTTTTACAGAAAGCTTTTTAAGTAAGTCCACCATATCAGGGGGTATTGTACCCTTCTCTGGTACATAAACTCCTCTACATTGCCCACTACCCATACAAACTGGGCACTGTTTTTTGGAAAAAGGCATTACAGTTTGAAGTAACCTCTAAGATGCAATGTCACTGGTTTCAGCATCATGAATGCTTCTGACTTGCTGGTCACTGAATTATTAGTACCTATGCCATGTGCCCGATAAGATAGGCGCAAAGCAAATTTTTTTATTAAGAAAAATCTTTTAAAAACTAGATAAGTCAATCACTATAAATTACTAGCAGAGCAGTGAACTTGGCAGTTAAGATAATGGAAGCTGACTAAGCAAACTGAGAACCAACATGATTTTTCCAGTACTAATTTGTCTCTATCCAGCAGACTCTTTTTTGATCTCTGAGGAAATATTTTAATTTTGTACTTAGCAGGGTCTATTCATCAATGTTTTTGCCCAAGAGTCACACAACTTTCACACAAGATTAACTATCTGCAAGGAGTTTGCAGATGTTCATGTTCTCCCTGTGCTTGCGTGGGTTTCCTCCGGGTACTCCGGTTTCCTCCCACACTCCAAAGACATGCTGGTAGGTTAATTGGCTCCTGTCTAAATCGGCCCTTGTATGTATGAATGTGAGATAGAGACCTTAGATTGTAAACTCCTTGAGTGCAGGGACTGATGTAAATGTGTACTGTGTAAAGCGCTGCGTAAATTGTCTGTGCTTTATATATGTGCTGTGCTGTATAAATACCTATAACAAATAAAACTGTTCCAAACTGAACTTAAAATGTGTGAATATTGGGTGCAGATTGTGTGAATCTTAGGTAAAAACATTGATAAATGTTGCACGCCTGTACCAAAATCACAAACATTATTTAACTATTTGAATGCATGTATGGGATATTCCTCTTAATTTAACTCACTCCTTGTCAGTCTCAAACACTGACTGTTGACACATAGGGGCCCATTTATAAAGGTTTTCACACAACTTTCTCCAAAGATTCTAATAATTTTCCAATTAAATCTAGTTAGGAAAATAGAAAAAAGCTGTGGGAATCTTAATTTAACTCACTCCTTGTCAGTCTCAAACACTGACTGTTGACACATAGGGGCCCATTTATAAAGGTTTTCACACAACTTTCTCCAAAGATTCTAATAATTTTCCAATTAAATCTAGTTAGGAAAATAGAAGAAAGCTGTGGGAATCTTGTGTAAAAACCTTCACAAATAAACCCCTAAGTAATTCACAGACTGCAGACAGCAGAAAATAAAGGGTTCACAAACTTAAGGATACCCATGGACATGAGATGATTTTGATTTGGCCATCAATGGCTGATTCCAGCAACCAACTCATGTCTAAGGCTCCTGCAGACAGAACCATGCTAAACACCCAGTATTTTAAAACAATTTATCAAATAGGTTATAAAAACATGCCCGCTTGCTATAGTTCCACCACAGATAAGTTTACCTGAAGCTGTCATCCTCCCCTCCTTCTTCCCTCTACCCTTCTCTTGCTGTTCAGAAAAGTTGGATCAAAACTGCACATCTGACCTCACTAAGAATAGACAAGCGCACATTAATAGCTTGTTTTAGTTACCCAATATTTATAGATTGGCATAAAACACACATTTGTAATTCCATAGTTATATGATTCATATGATATGTGAACGCTCATTCCTCATTCATATGTAACAAAAGTGCAATAAAACTAAGCAACCATATAAATATACTGTATATAGGCAATAGCACTTAATTCAAAGTGAACCCTTGGTGCTCTATAGAAAACAAATAAAGTAGCAACAGGTATTGTAGACACTCTATAGGCGAACGATGCAGAACAGGTGCAGAATAGTAGTTTTTATGCAATACTAGCAAACTATTATGCTGTCCTCCTTGTTCACCAATGAAAGGCCTTTGAGTGCCTGCAATACCTCTCTATATACACTGCCTGGCTAAAATAAAAGTCACCACCTGGATTTAGTGTTATGAACTTGGGTTGCTTCAGTTGTTCAGGTCCAGGTTTAGCACTGTATATTTCCCAAAAAATGAGGTCAGCTGCTTACCTGAATATACTGAATGACCAGGTATTTCCATCAATGGTTTTCCTCTTCCCTGATGGCACGGGCATATTCCAATATGACAATGCTTGGATTCACCGGGCTCAAATTGTGAAAGAGTGGTTCGGGGAGCATGAGACGTTATTTTCACACATGGATTGGCCACCACAGAGTCCAGAATTTAACCCAATTGAGAATTTTTGGGATGTGCTGGAGAAGACTTTACGCAGTGGTCCAACTCTCTTATCATCAAATAAATGTTTTGACATTGCATAAGCTTATCAAAACAATGCCACAGTGAATGTGTGCCACAATCAAAGCGCTCCAGTGAATTATTATGAGTATGTGACTTTCTTTTGGCCAGGCAGTGTATATATAGCTATATATACCGTATATATACTGTGTGCGTGTCTATATATAGTTATAGATATAGATATATATATCTATAGATATATATAGATATATATATCTATATCTATATATAG